AAAAWKRAAMSKTTTTTKATCTACAGAGCTTCCTGTTTACCAGTCTAATATGGCACATGCAARCATRCCCCCTGTGACCTTTTATTCAAATTCTGCGAAACCATACGGAAATTACCTAAACTCTGTCTATAGGTCTGAAAATTACACTCTCAGTGAAGATAGRCAAGACAGATCATGGCATTGAACAGAAAATTGAACTGCCTTGCGATTCTTTTGGTATTTTTTCTTATTTTGCTCTCGCATGCGCACTCGRTAGAAAGGACAAGTTATAAAAACTTTATTGCTGTATCGACAGCTGGACATAATACGCCAAGCTGCTTGAATTACACTTCGGTGGAACGTTCGTCTGCTGATCCTTGTGGAACGCTTGATTATGTGTTCGATTCAATCTCAACGAATCATCGGAATGCAACCAAAGTTGTTCTAGAATCTGGAACATATAACTTGACCAAGAATGCCTCCTTTGAAGGAATCATRGATTTTGGATTGAGTGGAAATGATAGTATGGACAACGTCGAAGTTGTGTGCTTTCCTGAAGTCGGGTTTACATTTTTACGAAGCAGAAACATTCGAATACAAAATTTAACAATTTCACGATGTGGAACACTTCATCATAGTTCCATTGGTCAAGCATTTAGTGAATATGACAAGAACCATACTTTGTTCTACACCGGTGTCTTCATTGCGTACTGTAAGGACATCAACATTCAAAGTTGTCAAATCAACCAAAGTATTGGCATAGGTCTAACAATGTATGATACCGGAGGCCAAGTAATTATATRTGGCTCGAAATTTGTTCGTAATACCCCGGAAATAAACACAAGCTTTGCACAAGAAAATAATTATGCTGTGGCCGGAGGTGGCGTTTACTTGGAACTCACTTTCGACGGTGCCCTCCCCCCATTTGACKTCAACAACACGGAACGCTTTGCCTACCAACATGACAATAGCTATTTAATTGAAAATTGTACCTTTAAAGATAATTTAGCTCCCAAACAGTACTTCAAAGGAACATTTATCGATTTACCAAACGGTACAGAYCACATGCCGTTTGGTAGAGGCGGAGGCATGTCGATTTTCTTTAAGGGTAACRCAACGAMTAATAATGTCACGCTACWCGGAAATGACTTTATCAACAACACAGGCCTTTKKGGCGGTGGCTTTTTTATAGAATTTCAAGATCAWACAGAAAACAATCATGTCGTTATTTCTGGTTCCCGCTTTATCAAAAACARTGCAACTACTGAGGGRGGWGGGGTTCGTTCTGGAATTGTAATTTGGGAAGRACGCTTAAAGGCTAATACTATCAARCAARTGGAYAATGTGTACAGAAGTAACGTGGCCATAATTTCAGGAGCCGTGTCTCATTACGGCCCTCATTACTCCCTCGTCGATGGCGAGGAGAAAATAAGAGAAGTTGTTTTTCAAAACTGCAGTTTCGAATACAATAACGCAACTCTTGGAGCTGCGCTCRGCTTTAGCACGGGATTTTTTGATCTTCGACTCAACAGCTTAAGTCTAAAAGCTAAATTTCCTTGGAAAGTTGTCTTTGAAAATGTAACAGTAGTTGGAAATCGGATTATTTTGACGGAAGATCGAAAAGTTATTGGACAGGGAGCTTTATTTGCATCAGCTACGACCATTGAACTGAGAGGGGGTGCACTATTCGAAGATAATTCTGATACAGCTCTGGTGTTAGATAATGCGTTGCTGATTGTCCAAGACTTGAACAAATTTTATAATAATACAGGGCTACAAGGCGGTGCAATAGGAGTGTATGGCTTGTCACTGATCAATCTTATGCCAGGTTCCACTATGCAGTTCATTGGCAACARCGCCACTGAAAAGGGTGGGGCTATATATGTTGCTTCCAATGGACCCCCYATCTTGGCATTTAATTCGACAGAACTCAATGAAAGGAGCTGTTTTCTAGGCTACAAKAATCAGAATGATATGGAGAATGTTGATGGCTGGAACACCAGTATTATCTTTGGTTCAAATACTGCGAAAAGGGGCGGCGGGAATTCAGTGTATGTMCATAGTTTRCAATCCTGTCGCAAGACCGGTGAGCCGAGAAAGAAAAATACAGCTATGCAATGGCCAATTATCACATATATGAACAGAAATGACGATGGGTTTGACATAAAGGATGAAATAGCTACAGACCCACTTGAAATTATCGTCTATAATTATCAATGGCATGTCGCCCCAGGCGAAGAATTCAGTCCGGCAGTGGAACTTCGTGATGAAAAAGAAGGCCTAGTCCAAGGAATTGTGCGAGTATCTTCTTGGACAGATAGATACAAAGATCCACCCAGCCCACCCCCACTGCTGCTTATAAACCCTAAGAACAAAAGCAGCAGTCTGGCACCAAACTTCACTATCAAAGGYAACGCCAAAGAACCTTTAGAACTTATCCTAACAACACTTGGAGGACAAATCGTTAAAACAAATATATCAAATTTAAAGCTTAAAGAGTGCTATATGGGGTTCAAACTAGATCCAAAAACACGGGAATGCAAGTGCATGAGGAGTTTGAGAGGGGTTTCASGTTGTACAACAGATCGCAAACACGTCTACTTGAAGAACGGCTTCTGGGGGGGTAAGGTAGGGACATATTTTTCTACTTACCCCTGCCCACCTGGGTACTGCAACGACGTTGTTACAAAGATAACTCGCACAGGTGACTACGAAATGATTCCGGGAAATGTTTGCGCAGAAAATCGAGATCAAACAAGCGTTTTATGCGGCAAATGTAAGGACCATTACAGCGTACGTATTGGCTGTGAAGAGTGCGCGGCAAACTGCAGCTACGACACACTGTATTGGTTTGTGCCTGTGTACTGCATTTCAATAACTTTGTTTGTATTAATCGTTCTAGTCCTTGATCTAGATATCTTTACTGTCTATCTCAATGCATGTTTGTACGCTTATCAAGTTATCCCGCATCTAATAACTCAAGACAATGAGGCCTTTTTCCAACATGATGRCTTTATCACATTCATCATTGGCCTTGCGAACTGGAGAATARATRTTGGTGGATCGTCCCTTTGTATAAAAAACACGACTGSATTGAGTAAGCTTTCAATGGAGTACAGCTTTCCAGGATTTGTCTTTCTGGTTCTGCTAATTGTAAGAGTTACAGGGTTAAACAATCGCCTATCMAGATTCACTGACCGTTTTGTATGTTTACGTCACGTGAGACGAGAAAATCGCGGCGAGCAAAGTTACAATGCGACGCATGCGCTGTGTAATCTACTTGTTTTATTGTACACTGACGTCATCTTGATATCATTCAAAATTGTCCACTACGTGAACCTAAGTGGTAARTGGGTTCTCTTCTACGATGGCTCGATCGAATTCTACGACGACTGGCGGAGACACTTCATAGCAACAGGCGCTGCAATTGTTCTCCTCCTCCTGGCCTTGGTGCTTGCCATCTGTCTTATCGYSGTGCCACAGTTTTGCCATARAATTCCYGGTTACCAAAGATTTCGTATTTTCTTCGACCTTTTTCAAAGCTGTTTTGAGGAAAGATTGGAACCAGCCGATTCACCGTCTAACAGGCCTTCTCCAGATGACTCGTTCCCATCTTCCTCCTCGACTGTTGCTACGCAAAGCGTCATTGTCAGGTCAAATCGATGGTTTGCAGGATTCTACCTTCTATGTAGATTTGTGATTTTCCTCCTGGCATTTTWCGTGCCTTATGGACCATTRCGAAGGTCGATTCTTGAGATAGTATGTGTTGTAGTAGCGTCTGTCTGTCTGTTTGTGAAGCCTTATAATTCCAAGTATCATTGGCTGAACATCTCGGATGCCATTTTATTGTTCACGCTCTCTCTCATTGCAATATTGAGCACCGCTGTCAATTATGACGCCGAGAACAAGGATGGTCTGAGGATCGCCGTGCATGCRCTAACATACGTACCGCTGATTTATCTCCTCTATTTAATCTGTCTTTGTTGGCGAGCTTGTAGAGCGTACTTTCGCGGCCATCAGAGACTGCAAAGCTCTGACGGTAGAGACACGTCGGACACTAATGTAAGCAGTGATCATTGTAATAACAAAGATGGCGAAGAGTCCCTAACAAAGTCGTATACTGTCTAGTACACGTGCGMAGTGGTCATTTGCGGTCTAAAATGTGTCAAGCGACGTTCAGCAAGATGCATCATGGGATTGACAAGTAAAAACTTAACCCAAGTTATTGGTTGCAGGTTCAGTTTTGCTAACAAAGTTTTTTTTTTTCAGTTAATCATCTTTCATATTTCCATTTAGATACTTTTATCGGCAACGCTTCGATGCGTTTCGCCAAAACAAACATGACATCTAGTAGTTTAGAGAGATAAAAACGATTCAAGCAGAATTCAAGCGACTTTTGCGACATTGCGACATTGTCATAACTCATAGGAACTCGATCGTTCTCTTCCGTTTTCATCCCGGGCTTTGGAGTTTCCCTGAGTATGGTAATATGGACATTTCACTTTATAAAGACCTTGATCTCTTGATGAATATAGTAGTGTGCTTGAATAATTTCAAATAATTAGGCCTTTAGAATCAGATTGCAAATTTATATACGGGTTAATGTCGTTAAAGCGTATAGAGTACAAACACTAAAATTGTGCAACCTAAATATCACCATATACTGCAGGTAAATTACGCTAATTCTATTGTTTTTTATTGTAAAATTAGCGCTATTTTGTACTGTAATATTGCCAGAATATTGTTAAGAATTTAACTATGTAGGCGGATCCAGGATTAGAGCGGATTTCGTATGAGTGGGAAACGGACGGTACTGTACTGTGACTGTAATCGTACTGTAACCAAATTCTAGTGCCCCATTGATTCACCAAAATTCTGCAGGCCAGGTGCGGTAACTGTGCGGTAACCGTGCGGTAACGGTGTCCCACTCATACGAAATCCGCTCTATTTCAAATAGGGGGATGCATCTGTAGCATTAAGGTCATGATCAGTGCCAGATTCGGCTGACTAGCTGGTGGATGAAGGGCCCATGAAGGACGGCCTTTCATGACGTCTTTTCATCGTAATTTGTCACCATTACACCATTATCAGGGGCGGTGGAGCGGGGACCAGCCCCCCCCCCCCCCCCAATTTTTTTTTCGAAAATTTAATTTTTTTTCATGATAACAGATCGTTGTATTTTCCTATAATGTAATTCATTAAGAGTTGTATTTACTGCAAAATGAAAGCTTGATGAATAAAAAAGGATTTCTTGAACACAATATTAATCAAGCCTGTTAGACCCCTTCCTGCGAGAAGCTGAAAAGGGTCTGGGTACGATAATGACATTTTATCCGTGCACCTTTCTTCAACGACGATAGAACGACCAACAATGCACTTCGGTCTTGGAATACACTTTTTTAGAATTCAACGTTTTCTCTAATAATATTCTCGATTTTTACAGCGTATTTGCAGAACCCTGCATGTACACGTAAACGAAAATTAAAAAGAGACTAATATACTGACATTAAGTTTGTATGATAACATCAAAATACTASCTATATAAGGCCTGTTTACACTTGCGATTCCTCGCGGCGATGTCGCGTGACCATCGCAGCCTGAGTTTCGAACATGCTTGAAAATTGGCTGCAACTTTGCGGCGATTTTCCATTCCAACAATCGCAGAGCTGTTTACACGTATGATTTTAGGTGCKCGATAGCAAAAGTGGCGATTATCCCGGTGCAAGTGTAAACTGGTCTTTCTATACCCAGAAATCATGTGCAGGGTTATTACTTGACATATCATAGGAAAAGTATCAGTGTGATTTGTATTATGTAATAAAAAAGCATTAGTAAGTGACATTTAGTCGTGAATACTCTCGACTCGAGATTGATGTAAGAAGGGMAAAGCGTCTTTTTGTAAACACGAGGGRGAAAACTTGGAATCAAGGCGCAATCACGTCATTTTCAACGAATCACGAATCGARAAGTCACGCATAGAGTTCCGCTGGGCAGCAARAKTGCAGGCYCTCGGTGGGTGATTGTGGCGGAAGTGGTCAAAATGTATAATCTCAAAGTTTCTTACAAAGAAGCCCTGAATTCTCGACGACATTTATTGTTAAAATGTACAAAACATACAAAGTAAGGTATCTATTTTCAATTTTTGCTATTTGATGGATAAAGGTCCGTCTAAAGACGATTTTTCAAGCGAAAATTCGCGAAGTTTAACCAAACACTTCACATCGCCTGCAGAGGAACGCTTTTCAGTTTCCAACCTCACGAATAACCATGCATCCGTGCTTGAGGACAGTGGACCATTCATTGTGTTTGTCCTATCGTCATGGGATAATATTCTTGGTCCAATCCTTCGACATGTTTGGCTTGGAACGAGCAACCAGCTARCACAAGAGGATTGSGTGAAATACGTTGTGTCACGCACTCTTAGTGGGGAACTTTTGCGTGACTCTCCTGAAAACATTGTAGATTCGAAACTTTTTATTTTAAAAGAAAAAGATATAATTTGCCATTCGTTTATATTTTCTGGAAGAGACAAGATGAGCTCCAATATCTCTTCTTTTTCACTTGTTACTCCGTATTTGTGGTTTAAAAGTTATTCGCCTTTGATTGATCTTATTGAAGAAAGATGCAAGATTCTCCTTGCGAAGTTAAGGGTTCTTCTTACTAAGGTAATATCTATATTATTACAAYGTAAACCATTTGTTTTGTAGTTTATAAATGACATTACTTTTGGACAGGATATTTCAACAGCGTATCCACGATTTACAGAATATCTTCAAATATTTGTAAATACTATTACAAGTTTAAAAGAGTATAGTCTCTCCAAAGAAATAAAGGTTTGATTAGACATTTTTTCCTTTCATTTTAATGACGGGATTCCTGTGCTGGATTACACAGGAATCCCACTAAATGAAACTGTTTTTCTTTTTAGCTGAGCGATACAGTCTTTGGAGCAAGCAGCCCAGACTACCATGGAGTATTTGACAAGGTCTTTATGCTAAGGTAATGAAATAAAATAGAGTGCATACATTGGTGCAAGACCACCCTGTTCGATACCCTGTTCCAGAGTAAAATTGCTGAAAAAGATAGCTGTTCCAGATTAAACCATTRACCCCCCCTAGGGGACACCACCTCTCTAGGGCATTAACATTTTGATGTGTGAGCCTGCAGGGGAGGGGGAAGAGCTGCTACGGCTATGTGAGATTGGAATCCCTTGTAGTCCACCTTGCTGGGCATTCCAAAACTTTCTATATCAAAACTTTGAAAACTATTTTTATAGAGCAATAACTTCACATCTTCAAACATTTGGAAGTACAGTTGTAGTTGGATTGTCACCTGATAGAGTTAACCTGGTAAGTCTGACACTTCTGATCCATGACTGGAACTAATAAAAATGATTTTCGCATTTCTTGGAGATGGTTATACGATTTGCTCTTTTCTGCAGATGGTCAGCAGCCTTGGGATGCTTTTATCACCAGAAGAGCGCTGTRCATCTTTATGTGCTGTTAGAAGAAAAGAAAAGAAAAATAGTGTGTACGAACCAGACTTGTTTGTCCAAGGAATGTTGAAGGTGGGCTCCCTGTGTATTTTGTGTGAACTGCAAATCTAATATACTCAAAAAAAAAAAATTCAAAAAGTGTTGGTAGAGAGAACAATGGATGCACAACTAGTTACTGCTAAAATGTGATTGACTGCAATTAAAGGATGTCTATTTAATCATCAATACTCTGAATACCTTGACCTTATATAAGCGACTTTCAGCTACTCATTCCAAGCAATTTTCAAGAGACAACATATAGATATATAAATATCATATTTTTTGATCAAAGTTGTTTGTTGTGTTAAGACAGCTATTGATGATTTCAGGATGAGAATAGTGGGTTATCAATGCCTCTGAAGAGCATTGCTACTAGTTTACACCCAACCACTTTTATTGATGTTGACACCTTTGAAGTCAAACAAACCTGCCTTTTTCATGAGCACACTCTCAAACGCAAAGAATTTCTGGAYGATTTGCTGGCTTTGATTTGGGAAGATCTTGAAGAAATGCCAGAAAATCCAAATCTGTGAGTGATAAAATACAATGCCTTTAATGGTTTGCCAACAAGCTATAGTCGAGATAGTGTTGAGATTCATTGCTTTTTGGTATTGTACAGGGTAGTGTTCAATGAAGTTGAGGACATAGGAACCTTAGTRCAGACACTAATGAATGATGTAAGTTCAACAATAAAAATAGATATTTGTGTTTAGAACTCAAATGTCTATGAATGGTTGTTTTTGTTTTTGTATTTGCAGTTAAGCCTTCTTCCTGCAGTTGACAATGCAAGGAAAAGTTTCATTTCAAGTTTCTTAAGACTTCTGGATCGTAAAGCTTTGGCTCTTATAAAATATGTAGAAGCAAAATCGTAAGTTATCTTCCTTCCATGAGTAAATAATGATGCAATATTCTGCAACACTAAATGTTAATAATAATAAATAGTTAATAATAATTATCATCTTTTCTATGATATTATCTTTGTAGGAACAAAGGAACAAAGCCACTGGATAACATAGCCAAAAGGCAATTACAGCAAGATCTACAATTAACCACAGAGGCAGACTTCTTTATTGTGTTAAGTCGGGCAGAAAAACACAAGCCAGGGATTTATGTATTTTTCATGGGTGACCCTAGGCAGACTGTTGCTAGGTTACAAGCCATACTGGAGTCACTCTAGTRTCGGTAGAGTCTATTTCTTTGACTTGCTTGTCATAAAACATACAAAGAGCCTGTGTGYMTCAGAAAATACAGCTCTTTGTACATTGCACAAGTGGAATTCTTGCTATGARCAAAGTCTCTTTATTTTGTGATTAGTAATGGTATGAACTGAAGTAATGAAGGTGAAAATAGTCAAACAATTTTAAAACAAATTTAGCCTGCATTTTTAAGTTTATATATATGTATTGCAGTAGACACAAATTTATATACCAGTAAGTATAGCAGCTTTTCAAATGTACGTGCAAATATATCAATTTTTTATATTTTATTGCAACTTCTCAATGTTAACTATCAATATTTTCATTATGTTTGCTTTAAGTAACAATGTCCAGATTACATGTGATGCAGGGTAAAGAAAGGTCCTGTTGCTTGGAAACAGTTGTCATAGCAATAACTATATACATGTGATCAAACTCATCCTTGGTAACAACTGTCATAGCAACTGATATTTCCTTCATCACTATAGTAACGTCTTTCTGTGACAATGTATCTATTGACAAATGGATGACTAAWTTCATTGCCACGATGACTATGTCAATCATGTTTCCATAGCAGAAAATCTCTATGGCAGCATTTGATTTTTYCACCCTAACTTGTTGACGTTGACTTGAGAGATAAATAAAGTTTCCCCTTGATTTTGTTCTGTTCSGGTTGAATCTTTTTCAAGATGGTTGCTATCAACTGTACAGTTTGTTCGTTTGTAAGTCCAGTCTTTTTACTTTTAAATTTCTGGAGTAAATCTTTAGTAGTCATGGGTTTACGAGCAAGGTAACGTCGAACTGAATCCTCAGTGATTGTGTTRCCGTTGTCTCCTGGTGTTGGGGTATTGGATGCTGAGCCTGATTGGGAGCTGGGTCCWGGAGAGACGCGGGCTTTCTTGGACGATTGGCTGTCACTGATTGACTTAAATCCACCTTTTACAGGATCAGAGGCTGGTCGTTTCTTCCCTTTGCCCGCTGAAAGGAAACAATTATYAAYTATTAAGAAATCCAAAARCYTGTATTGYAAATGGTTGTACTTACTAGGTGTTCCTGGTCTGCCTTCGAGCTTTTTAGCTGCTGCCTGGACTGTTGATGTGACTGACGGGTTCTCGGCGCCTTTGGTAGGCGTTGACGACCTGCTGCTGGATGATGTACTTGAACGGCTGCCAACTTTCTTCTTGCTTTTAGCCTTATCTGAAAATTGAAATTAAACCCAAACATTTTAGCCTTACAGTACATGTAGCTTATTATCAATGAAAGTTCTCCATACAAATGTACATGATATAAATGTGCAGCTTGTCACTATTTTTACATTCAAGACATGATGGTAAAATGTAGTCCTTGCACTTTTTTATGCATGTTAAAAAAACGTTACAGAAAAATCCCAAACATTTTAGCCTTACAGTAGCTTTTTATCAATGAAAGTTCTCCATACAATGTACATGATATATGTGCAGCCTGTCACTATTTTTACATACAAGGCATGATGGTAAAATGTAGTCCTTGCACTTTTTTATGCAAGTTAAAAAACATCAGAAAAATCTGTTTTCCTTTTTTTCAAAGATGCAAGTAACAGGTAATTCTCTTTGAACGACCACTCTAGTAAACGACCATCTCCCGTAAGCGACCACCTTCTAATTTTCCCCTTTTGTTCAGTTTCCCATATAAAGTGTGTTAAAAAACTTTCTCGTAAGCGACCATCTCTCGTAAGTGACCACTATTTCCTGATCCCAAGGTTGTCGCTTACGAGAGAGTTGACTGTATTTTGCTGTTTCTGTAAAGGATGCACAGGAACAATCAATTGGAGGGATTATTTCAGTGTACATGTACATACAAAATAATGTAAAGTAGTGTAAGGACTAAAACTCYAATCATGCYTCTATTGWGTAAAATGACGCTGCTCCACTTTGCCTAGTGTACCGTATGTGTTGCTCTTTTAAATTATTATGATCGAAGGGGGAGTCATACATGTAGCTTTTACAGGGGGATAATTATATTCAATTTTAAAAACCACTGTCTGGTCTAAACATTGAATGTGATCTAAAGATGGAGCTCAATACCTTGTAAAAGTACTGCTGCTGACCCCTTRACGTCCTCATCATTATCAGGGTCCTCATCCTCTTCGTCAGATGAGCCCCTTTCCCCTTGGCCCTTYTGAAGTATCTTTTTTATATCTTTTCCTGCATTGGTCAGCTCATCATCTTCTTCGCTGTCGCTGTCACTTGATTCAGCATTTAAGTCGTCCTTTGTGTCTGGTTTCACTGGCTCTTCTTTGCGTTCTTCTTCTGGCAATGGAAAGCAAACAAACAGAGTTTTTCATACAAAATTCAAGGACATTTCAAGGACTTTTTAACGATTAATTTTCAATTTTCAAGGGCACCAATTACAAAGAGAAAGATGCAGTTAGTAAACTTAAAAAATCTTGTGTCTTACTAAAGACAACAATAAGAGCATTGCAGTTACGAACTTTCTCTTTTGGATAAGATTTTCCTTAAAACTTTATTAATTTCTTGGTTGCCATATTGGACAATAGTACAACAGGTATAAACGATAAACTTGTCAAAGCTTGGCTAAATTGATACCTAAAACATTACCTGACAACAACCAAGACTGATTCAAGGAATAAATTATCATTTTTCTTTCTCTTTTGGAGAAGATTTTCCTWAAACTTTATTAATTTCTTGGTTGCCATATTGGACAATAGTACAACAGGTATCGCAAAAACGATAAACTTGTCAAAGCTTGGCTAAATTGATACCTAAAACATTACCTAACAACAACCAAGACTGATTCAAGGAATAAATTATCATTTTCAAGGACCTTTCCTCCAAATTCAAGGACTTATCAAGGAAAATTTGCAATCAAGGACTTTTTTTCAAGACTGTACGAACCCTGAATAAAGGCTCAAATGTTTACACAAAGAGTTTTTTAAAAACTCTCTTACTACTCCAAGATATTCAAAGTCTCAGATCATAATTATGGCTAGTTTGGTGACAATATTGATGATTGMGCTGAAATTAAAAATGAAAATATACCGGATGATGATGAAGTGTCTGACATGTAATCAACCTCCTTTGAATCAAAGTAGCCATCTTCCTCAGATGATGCATTACTTTCATCACCGGAACCTTTCTTTGCTTTACTTTTGCCCTTAGTCTTTCCTTTCTTTAACTTGTTTGATTTATCTAAAAGTATTGTAATAATAATAATCAAGAGAAATAATAGAAACTTACATGTGAGGGCCTTGGACCTACCCTGTTTTTGTTTGGGCTTTTCATCATCATCATCATTGAAGTCATCATCGTCTGATGAATTTCTGTCATCGTCATCATCAAAAAGTTTCTATTATTGAATATAAAGTACAAAAAATATTACTTTTGAGATCCACAAACATATAACTAAGAAATAGACTATTTTAATTTGCATTCCATACCATACTTCTTGARGTACTTGGTCCTTTTTCCTTCTCTTTCTCTTCAGCATCTTCATTATTTTGAAGTCTTTTCTTCACCATTAAAGAAAAGAAGTTTACCGTTTTATCACGTCTCACAAATTCTTCCTCAGCTTCATCTGCTGTTAAAGTRCGATAGTTGATGTTTGGCGTGAAGTTGTACCATGATGTTACTGGCACTGCCTCAAAAGCTCCATCMGGACACTGGGTCAGRATGTAGTAACTTGAGTTGTCATTTATTCCAGCTTCCTTCTTGCCTGAATATCTGGGGGAAAAAACAAGAAAATATATTTAAAGTTAATCTACTGTTGATTATTGCAAACAAAGGTTTTCCAGCTCAATAATTCTGGTTTCTCAGTGTAAAAAAATGATTATCAGTGCACAGTTCACAAAATTTTAATTATAAATTCAATATACACCTTTTTCCTCCTTTTCCACCAAGTTTTAAGTTCCATGGAACWGAGTCAGGGTCAGCTGCTTTCTTAATATAACCTCGTCTCCTCTTTCTTGCTTCTTCCCTCCTTTCCCTTCCATACTCACTTCCAGCACCGCTCTTCGGCAAGATTTCCTCTTCCTTGTCCACACTGGAAACACCCTCACGACTCATTGTTGCCTTTAAGAGCATGTCAGTCAAAAGAGTATTCTTTAAAAACTCTAAGTTTAAAATTTGAAAGCATTCTGGAAAAAAAACTGGTTGAGTTATGTCTATTTTATTTTTAATTGAGGTAGAAAAGACCTATAATTGCTAGGGCATGCTTTCATCAAAGAAGAGAGAAAGATGGTCTACTGTATGGAGAACAGAAACAGGAGTATGAGATATAAAACCCCTCAACTTGTCAAGCAACATTGTTCAAGTTTTTCATCAAATCTGTCTCGCTTTTCACCTTCCCTAAGAACTGGCAACATAGACCTTTTCTCAAATAAAAAATCGGGGTGCATTGTGGTCTAGCTTCAATACAAACAACACCATATTTGGCAGCATGAACAAAAGATGTTTGTACTGAATATAGACCACAATGCAATGTGTARTRCCATTTCAGAAAWGGCCTAATGCCACTCACAGAAATGATGAAGCTAAACTTGAAGAGCAACAATGTTTTGAGAGGTCTTTTATCTTGTACTTTTYTTCATTAATAGTTATTRAATTTTCTCRATGCAAATGGCAACATTCTTCGGACAACGGTGGGTGATGTACCTTAGTTATTGATGAGAGATCAGGTTTTCCTGACTGGAAGCGCATCATATAGTAATTCTTCGCTAAATGTCTGGAAAAATAACATAAATGTGACATATTCATTAAAAATCATGAATAGATTGTAGACAAATTTGAATGAACTTATGTTAAGTTTGTATTTTCATACTTGCAAAACTATTTTTGTTGCAACACAATTGTCACATACATGTAGTAATCTTTTGATCARAGGACAAGTTATGTTTGCTTGCCCAAAAGAGATCAAAACTCGTTTGTTTTGTATTCATCCCATAGTGTAACACTGTGAGGACAAACTTGAATTTACAGTAAATCATTGTGAAGTGATTTCCTAAATACCTTGGAACTCTGACTTTATATTCTAGGAATGGCTCTGAGGATGATGTTGATGGCATTGGTACAGGCGGCCTACCAGGTATTGTAGCTTGTACCTAGCACATAATTTCTTGTTAAAAAATTATCAAATGATCGGGATAAGAAATATTAAGTAACTACTATTAAAATTGCTCAATAACACGAGTTTTGATTATGTCAAACTGAGAGCTGATCTTATTCACCAAAATATTATCTTGAAGCAAATTTGATAACATTTTAAACCWGTTTCTCTATGAAATTGACAATCAAGGGCAGGATAAGAATATTCAAAACCAACACTTGATCGAACAATCTATCCTTAAAACTTACTTGATTAAGCTGTCTTGGAGCCACAGGCATAGGGGAAGAGATCTTAGACATATCCATAATGATTTCACCTCGATAAAATAGGTAAAACCAAACAGAAATTACAATCTTCCCTTTCAAGSACAGAGCTGAGCTATTGAAAACCAAGCCTKCCGAATRGGACGCGGCTGCTAAGCAAAACAGGGAACCCACAATTACAAAACTTTGAAATAATAACAATTTGTTCAAGTAGCCAATACCCAAAATTTATGCATTACATCACTTTCTGTTTTCATATATTTTAGTTTTATAGTAACTAGTAATCATTTATGAGCAATGATGTTCAAAGTCTATAGTCTATTTTTAGCTTACAGCGTCACAGCTGAGCCACGTGGKGACGCATTTGAAACRGGGGTTTCCCCTTTTAMGYAACAAACAGCGTTCTTGACAGAACATTTCTACGAATTCGTCGCTTCACCACGCATTTGTTTTTCTAAGTAACAAATATACTGCGTGGAATATAARATATTATCGCTARAGTRAAACCTATAGGCACTTCWAGTTATTCTGAGAAATCAGTTTTAAGGTTCGAAGAAGACGACGATTTGCAGTGTTCAACGCCGTCTGYCCTTCGAAAWCTATTCACGGACAGAAAAGGTAGGTGAGGACTTTGTCTTAAATGCTTCACATATTCGAAAATTATATATGTTTCAGTTGTAATGATTGCGTTGCCTGTATTTTTTATCCGTTTTTCATAAGAATTGGAGCGACAACAGATTGCAAAACCAGAACGCTGATCGTTTAAAATTGCGTCACCTAAACAGTTTACTTAAATTGTGAAATTTTTGGCATCGAAATTCCTTACTTTTGCTAATGTATTGACCGCACTGCTTTGTTTCGTCTTTTTTGTGATATTCCTAACACTTCTGGCGAATAAATTGAGACGCAAAAGGGGAAATTATACAGTATTGTCTGCTATACGTTCTTTGTCTGTCGCATTTTGTTATATACAGTTACGATMTTTTAGCTAAATTCACTTTCTAAAGACTTAAGTCCATTTATATGTGTGTATTCATGGATTTTTTTTAAGCAAATGGAATCAAATGGGATTATCAATAACTGTTCGTGAAAAAAAATGTTAATATTATATAAACAAAATATTGATTTTGTTGATCAGAATTAACCTYTTAATTCTGTACTGATCTTCAATTTATAAATTACGTTCACGTAGTAAAAAAGCRAACGAGGATAACAAAGCAGGCATGTGTCTACACATAATTTTAAGTTTTTGGAAATGAACGCTTCATCGTTTCATGCATGGAATATTTAAGTTTTTGTTTTTTTGTTGTTGTATTTTTTATCGGGGAATTTCCCTTTTGAGAATCTGTTAGACAAAGTGAAAATGAAAGTCAATGGTTTCATGAACCAATCAAATGACTGCATAAATAAATAATTACATTCCTTCAAATTGCCAAATGCAGCTGCTGGGTGCAATGTCCTTGGACATTGTACCTTTTATTCATACTTTCAACTATTTTCCCCTGTTGCAATAAGAAGGCAAAAGAGGTTAAACGTCCATCCAACATGGCTCCCAGAAATATACTGAACAGATAAAATGAATGGAAGAATAAAATGATTGGATAAATGAATGGATAAAGTTCTTTCAATAAAAGTGGGAAACAGTAATTACTCAATTGTTCACAATAGTGCTAGTTGAACAAGAGAAACAAAAGAATTGGCATAAAATTGGTTGATTTAAGCACTAACTCAGAATTAAATTTCAAAGGTAAACAAAAATGACCTTCAAGCAAGGAAAGCCAGAAGAAAAAGAATTATGGACCCTTGCCAAACATATTCTCAAGTTTTGGAAACAGCTTGGAAGAGTGCTGGGAATAGAGGGCCATATTCTTGATGAAATAGAAGTTGATCACAATTCACAWGTTTATGAACAGTCATTAGAGATGCTGACAAGATGGTGGAAATCTAAAGGTTCTCACGCCACTTATGGTGAATTGGGTAAAGCATTGGTAGACCCATCTATAGATCGTTATGATCTTATGGTGATGACGTGTTRTCCTGACACAGATAAAGGTAATGTAAAGGCTTACTTCTGTTAAGCACTATTCCTTTCCTTTATTTCTATATCATGTTTATCATAGTGCCATGCAGTCCTCATATTCATTATACTTCTATTAAAGTGTTACCCAGGAGGGGGGAAGGGGGGGGGGGGTACTCACCTATATTCGCTATTCGGGGACATGCCGCCAACCAGGGTGTCGTTTTCAGCGATTTTACTCTGGAACAGGGTATACTTTTCAGCGATTTCACTCTGGAACAGGATCAGGGTTTTGATGACCCAGCAGCACAACCCTACCCAAGTGTTAGATGTTTCAAAAAATCCATATAGCAGTTTCATCTGTTGGGCAAAAAGCTTGTAAATTATTGGGACAGAATGTTTTTTTTCCCAGTGTAGAGATTCATTCTCATGAACTGCCAGGGGGCTATAGTAATAAAAGAGAAAACATTTAAAAGAAACTGGAAATGTCTTTGATAGTGCAGAAACTACATTTCCATTTGTTTATCTTTTATTAGAAAAAGTACCTCTTTCTGTTTCCTTTCCTGAAGAAGTTGATGAAGATGAAAATGTAACTCAACAAATGGGACGTTTATGCATTCAAAAGAGCAAAGGTAGAGATAATGTAAAGTTTACAACATTTTCTTATTTGTCAGTTTTTTTGTTGTGATTTTGCTACCGTTTCCAAGGGTGATTCTTTCCAGGGGGTGCACCATTTAGTTGTGATATCATTAGTAAAAGCATATTCTTTTTGGAATATTAGTGAAAATCTGGCAAGGGGGGGGGGAGTGTGGACCCCCTGGATCTGTCACTTCTTTCAAACTTTTTTTCAGTSAGAACTGTCCTTAAACATGTATGTACATTACCATTATTTCTAGATCTGAGAGAAAACAGCATATATCCCAAAGCCATTCCCTCAGTGAGCATTCTACTTGGAGAGCCATTCCACGAGACTTACCAACGTGAAAAAGAGCTGCGWACCTTAAAAACTCTCTACAMCTCTCTCGACTGCAACAACACTTGTAATGATGTCAAAATGGTCTATGTYACTGGACCTCCTGGCTCWGGAAAAACCCAGTTATCCCGCCTGTACTCYAAGTGGTATGGCCAGCAGTCTTTCCCAAGTGGACGSTCAATCGTCGTGGCCACTCTTCATGCAGAAACAGCCGAAGCACTCTTGGAGTCCTACATAGAATTGACAAGYGCTTTGGGTATAACCATGGAAGAACATGATAGACAGGATGATATCAAGAAAAAACTTCAATTGTACTCGAAAACCATCAAAAACCTTTTCCAGAAAAACAATTTGTACAATTTTGATTGGTTGGTTGTTGTTGATAACSTSTTTGCCACAAATCCCTTGAAAGAGTACTGGCCGTTGCCTGGCAATGGGTGGGGGAACGGTCGCGTCATCGTGACGACACAAGACTCAGAGTTGGCTCCRTCAGCGCATACTAATTCCCGAACTCTGTCGCTTTCAGAGGGCATGGACAAAGACGATGCGATTGACTTTCTCTGTCTTATTTCAGAGTTAGAAAGAGATGAGAGTTGTGCTGTTGTTGCAGAAAAGCTCAACTATTACCCGCTGTCACTCGCTTGCGCAGCGGTCTTTGTACGAGACATGCGCCATGAWAGACCTGCAGCTAACTTTTCCTGGAACGATTACCTGGCAAATCTTAAAARRTACTTTGAGCTTTTGAAATACKCWGAGTTTACRGACCATAATATTTGCTACCCTCGTTCCATGCTCWCAGCGGCCGTTTGCTCTGCGAGTCGCATGGCAGAAAGCAGCAGCGTGCTTAGAAGTGCTTTCAAGTTYTTATCATTCTGTACCATTCAGCCAATACCGCTGGACCTAGTTTCTGAAGCCGTGATGCAGAGTATGGACGACGAAATCGTGATACCAGACGAACTGAAAAAGAAACTAGCAAGATGTTCTCTGTTGAGCTACCCTCGTCATGGTGTGCGCGGCGTTGAGGTAGTCACGATGCATCAAGTTGTTCGTACGGCATTTGTTCAGTTAAGGAAGGTGTCCTG